TTTATCCTCAAGGATTTATTTTTTTGCAGGTTGGGGTCAAATGTGCCCAACTTGCAAGTTGCAACAGTGTTTGTTAACTGCATTCATTTTTTTAGTTTGATTATTTTTCTCCAGTTTCTTCTGCCACTCTGGGAGTGCTAACTGCGAAGTGGAAGAAGAAAGGCTAAAGTTGAATGTGCCTAGTTGCATAGTGTCAACCATCTTCATTAGTTTTATCTTATTGTTTTATTACTCTTTTTCTTCCACTACTTTTGGGGTGGAAAGAGGGGGAAGGGGGAGGTATGTCCTTGGGGTATTTAATGTTGGTTACTTTTGAATGTCCTTGGGGTATTTACTGTTGGTTACTTTCGATCTGTTGGTTTCCTCCCTCATGTCAGGCTTTTCTTTTGTATCAAAATGCGTCATGAAGTTTGAAATTGTGGCATGTGTATATTTAATTCTTTAGGTTTTTAGTTTCCTGGATCAAAAGTTAAAGCCTCAGTCCTCACTTCACCCTCATTAAGCTTCTATTTGCAGGGCTGGAGATGAACTTCTTTTCACACTAAATTTGATTATCTAGTGTTACACTTAGAACAATCACTTGTCATTTCACTGCTTTTCTAGGTTGCCGTTCTTGGTAGACACGTTTGACGAGAAGATTTGATTATTTCCTTTCCTTTCTCAATAGTCACTGTTTTTTCGCTTGTAATTGTCCCAATCCACCAAGGTTTTCTGTTTACTTGACTATTGAGGTTTTTTTGTCATAGCCTGGCCATAATCCGGAGCATCAAAGGCAACTTATGGTTCCAGAACTTCAAATGCAGGTCACGCAAGGGAATGGCCAAGGTGTTGCTCCATTCAATGTGCTGAGTTCTGGTTTTCCTAATCAGACAACTCTGCCATCTTCTCAAACATATCCAGGCCATACTCACCAGCAGCATCAGATATCCCCGCAACAGTCCCATGCACTCAGCAACCCTCATAACCCTCATCTTCAAGGCCCGAATCATGCTACGGGGCCGCAGCAGCAAGCCTATGCCAACCGTGTTGTGAAAGATAGGCAGTCGCAACAGCGGTATTTGCAGCAACAGCAACAGTTTTCTGCATCTAATTCTTTGGTGCCACACATCCAGACGCAGGCTCAACTTCCCATGTCATCAACTTTGCAAAATAGTTCCCAACTTCAGTTGCAAAATTCACCTCACCCGGTACCTATGTCCCCTATGACACCATCCTCCCCAAGGACTCCCGTGTCATCCCAGCACCAGCAGAAACATCATCTGCCATCCCATGGCCTTAGCCGGAATCCTGGTGCTAGTGGGATGGCCAATCAGATGGGGAAGCAACGACAAAGACAACCACAGCAGCACCATCTTCAACAATCTAATAGGCACCACCCTCAACAGCGGCAACTTACGCAGTCTCAGCAGCAGGCTAAACCTTCGAAGGGAATGGGAAGAGGCAATTCAATGGTGCATCAGAACCTCTCCATTGATCCTGCAAACCTCTCTATTGATCCTTCTCAACTTAATGGGCTTATGCCTCCAGGAAGCCAAGCTCTTGAGAAAGGAGAACAAATCATGCAGTTGATGCAAGGTCAAGGTGCATATTCTGGGTCTGGCCTTAATCCAGTAACATCAAAACCATTGGTCCCCCAATCAGCAAACCATTCTCAGTTGCAGCAAAAGTTACTTTCTAGTGCATCGACCCCTTCATCAAACCAACTCCAGCAAATGCCTTCTCATTCTGATAATATCACTCAAGGCCAGGTTCCACCAGTTTCTTCTAGTCATATGATATCTGCTTCACATCAAACTGGCTCTCCATCAGGTATGGCTTCCAACCACCAGCAAGTGCAGCCGCAGTCACAGCCACAGCCACAGCCACAGCAACAACAAAAGCAAGCTAATCAAACTCAGCCTTATGTTCAGAGAGTTGGGCAGCACAATCGCCAAGTGAACTCGGAGATTCCAAATAAGTCTGAAAATGATGCAACTCAAGCTGATGAGCAGCCTGTAAATGGTGTTTCGCAGGTGGGTGTGAGCATGGTTATTCCTCAGTCCTGTACTGATTCATCTAGTGTAGTGCCATCATCAGAAGCAGTTTATGATGCTAACATGCCAAATTCAACCGCTCAAGTGGGTCCTGTTGGGAGCCTTGCACAAACTAATACTTCTGGGAATGTGCCTGGGCCACCTATCAGTCAAGGGTTAGGCCCAAGAAAGTTATCTGGTAACTTGCTCTCTCATGGACATAATGTTGGAGCACAGATGGCAGCAGCAGCAGCTACTGCAGCGGTCTCCTTCACTGCCATCCCCATCCCAACAACAGTACCAGCAACAAGAACAACAGCAGCAGCAGGAACAAGAGCCACCCCATCATCAACTGACTCTGCAACAGCAGTCTCATCAGCAAATGCAGCATCTGCAAGCAGGGCAAGGAAGTTTGTATATGATGTCTGGTAATTCAACACCAGAATGAATGATTCTAAGGAATTGAGCAGCTGCAGCAACCGTTCCTGCCTGGTTGGGTCCGCATGCCCTTGGTACAGCGATGTACAGGTAGTTGCTATTCTTTAATTCCACAAGATGGATATAACATGATATGGCTTTGCATAAACTTGAATGTTTCATCAACATCATCAGAAAGCTATTCTTCAGCTTATTAGTTCTCAAATACTCCCAAACCTTTTCTGTTTGAAGTGAATTATACTGATGAAGCATGCATTACTTCTACTCTCTTAAAAACAAAATTGCAGTGCTTTTCCCTTTTTGTTGTCTTATTGTCTTTCTCAGTAGTAGGATCTGTCTTCCACTTCACCATTGCTGAGTATTGCTTTGGTGCTCGACTGCTAGTTCATATTTTATTTTTTGCGCAAATACTGTCTGAGTTGTCTAATTTTTTATTTTTCATTTCTGTGAGTCAAAGGAGCTATTTCAATCATAAAACGTATCTGATTTGAGTTTGGGGTTTAATGCCAGATGAAGCTGATTATTCGACAAGGGCATATTGACAGGAAGAGGGTTGGTCATCATATTTGCAGGTTTTGTGAAAAATGTAGCTGGACCAGCGAAGTGACGTTGCAAGGCATAAGGCATTTTGCTTTTGTTTATGGAAACCATGTAAATTACCACTGGGCTAGAGTTCTGGGAAGATAGAGACCGATATAGAGGTACGTGTACAGGGGTTTTTATCTTTCCATTTCTAGTACCTGTCGTTTTTCTTCCAATTTTTTCTTTATTTTTCTTGGTCTCCCAGCATATTTGTCGAGGGACCTTATTTATTTTTGGCCCGGTAGATTAGTGCATGCATTATTACCCTTTTTCAGATCGAAGGGTGTTGCAATCATTTTTATGGGCAAAAAAGCTTTTTGCAAATCTTGTGAATATTAGAGATGGCTGGGGTAATACCTCGGCCAGTGGGATTAGAACAATCAACATCTGTCAATGCCATGTCTGCCCCTCGAACTATTGTAACTTGTAACGGTTCGCAGTTTTATAATGCAAAGAGTCCTGATAGCTGTTCATCCACATCTGGTGTTTGTTAAAGCCAACAGCATCTGCAATGCATAATATTTTCTGCTTTGAACTTTGTGTTGGGAGCTCCAGGCTAAGAAAGAAAAAGAATACTAATGTTGGGGGGAAGTCGGGTGCCGTTGTATCCTCGTGTATGATCTGCGGTTACAAATTTGGACTCTTGTTTCCTGTCCTTAATTTTGATAATCTCTGGAATGTGTAACTTGTATCATTAGATTCTTTATCTTGGAGATTAGCCTTTGATAGTTCCGTTTGTATATATCTTGGAGAGGATACTCGTAAGTAGATACATTACATTTGTTCCTTTATTTTTGGAATCGTTGGACGGTGGCACGACGCATGGAAGAGTTAAAGATGTGAGACGCTCCCCATTCCCAGCCCGGGCAGGGGTGGCGCGGGGAGTGGAAGTGCCTCACCAACAAATTCAGACAGCACTGTAATGTCATTTGGTATGATTTAGAGATCGTCTTCTTTCATCGAAATCTTGTGTTGTGAAGGATCAAAACCACACTTCTTTAATTTTTGGAGATTGTGGTCGTAGTGAAAAAACAAAGAATGCGAAAGGAAAACGTTGGTTAACGGACATTGCACTAGTCATCGGTCAGAATTCAATCCCGATGCGTTCAAATCTCAGTTAGCATTCAATCCGATGGGAGCCCAGGGTGTGCAGAGGAAATGTTGAGGGGCAGAAGTAACCGCCGTTCGGGTGCCTGCCCCAAAGGGACGGCAGGTCCATGCATTCGGAAAATTGTGAAGGATTGCTACCGGAAGTTAAGAGCAGACTGACATATGATGGCAGAGCCATAAAGAGTTTCCCAGTGCAAGTTTAAACATTCTTCATCCGTTAACCAATGCGTTGAAGATGAGGAAGTACAAATCAATTACTTCACCCTAACATTAAGTTTTTCTAGAGGACCCCACGCTGATTAAAAAAAAAAAAAAACTACTCAATACAGCAGAAAGGACGTACTAAGTTTTTGCCAGAACAACTAGTATGACACTAATTCACTGCATCTTAGCTAATAACACAAGGACGTGTGAAAAAAGTTAAAACGGCCTTGCATTATTAGCACATGATGCCACATGTGGCGGTGAACCTGTGCCATGCACTGTCTTCTCCCTCAAACACCAAAATGACACAGATTTTGATTTTGCAACCAACGTAGCACCTAACCAACGGAAAGATGATGTGCTTCGCCTCTATACTCAAGTTCGAATCCTCCTCTTCGTAATTCAAGTTAGAGGATCTATTACAGAGAATAAATAACAAATTCTATACCTTGATAACATTCATTCATCATATTAATATCCTGGTGCACTTAAACCCTAAGCACAGAATTATTAGCAAACATTATCCATAATCCAAAAGCATCATGCACATGTTAAGCTTAGCAGAGAATACGAATCTGTTCATCCCTAAAAAAGAAAAGGAAAACTAACATGACAACATCAAATTGCAGAGAGAGAGAGAGAGAGAGAGAGAGAGAGATTGAATCCTTGACAAATTAAACTTAAACTCTATGACACTACGCATAAATTCTGGGCTTCAACTGTCAACTATACAAATCCAATTCAACAACGAACACAAGAACCATAACATTATACTCGAATCGAAAATCTACCTTGGAAACGAATTAGGTTGATGAAATTCATGATCAGCTGCTGCCGAAAGCTGTGTTAATGGAGTCAACAATCTTCTGCTGTGACTGCAGGATCATGCTCATCCTCTTCTTCTCCATCTCCACTCTACACCTCTCCGTTTCCTTCATCATCTCCATCCTCGTGTTCTCAACCCCGATCAACTGCTGGGCGAATGCCCTCATCTCGTCTGCTAATTCCACCACCATCTCCCTCCCCCTTTGCTGCGCCGGCTCCACCACGTCTCCGTCGTCCACCGCCTCTCTCCCCCTCTTTAACGCCGCCGGTCCCTGCAAAAACGGGTCTTTTCCGGAAAATCTGTTCACAAACGTCGGCCTCCGCAGGATGTAGTCAATGCTCCGGACCCTGTTAGAGTTCTCCTCATCGTCTTCGTCATCGCCACCGCCGTGATAATCACGCTCTTCTTCCTCTAGCTGATGTGGCATCTCCCCCATTGGCATGGCCGAGATGGGCATGGGCCCGCGCTCCATCTGCTCCATGAGCTCGAAGAAGGGCCAACCGGACTTTGTCCGCTGGCCTAGGCGCTTCTTAACGCCGCGGTGTCGCTGCCGGAGCTTCTCCATCTTGTGGCGGCACTGCGTGGCGGATTTCGACGGCTCGCCGTACTCGTAGCCGCACCGAGCCGCCACGGTCACCGCCACCTCCTCCCACTGGCTCGACTTCAACTGTCCCCTCCTCAGCGCGTACCACTTCTCCTGGTAGGCCCGGATCAGCTGCACCGTCTCCTCGTGGGTCCACGGCAGAGGCTGGGGCTTCTTGGCGGAGGGTGTGGGCGAGGCGGAGACTGAGGCCGTGGGGGAGGGCGGGGGTGGGGTGGACATTTCTGTGGGGGTGGTTAGGGCTAGAGATTTAGAATTTTGGGATTAGGGTTTGGGGGGAATTGGGGGTTTTTTGTTTGAGAGCTGTGGAGGTTGGTGGTGGCGGTGGCGGTGGTGGTGATGGTTGGGCCGTTGCGGGGACTTGTTGGGGTTGATTTGTGGGTGGGGCCCAGTAGTGGGTTGGAGGAGTTTAGAGTTGAAGTCAATGGATCCGAACCCGGTTTTGGAGTTTAAAAGAGTTGGAACTTGGAAGAAGCAGCAAGCTAGTTGGGCTTTTGTTTCCCTGTTTTTAACGTTTTCACGGTTTGTACGGTTTTATCCCCGGCACGTCATTTGTCATAACTCATGAAATTTATCTCAATAAAATTTAGTTATATCTCAACAATTCTTTATCGTTTTTAATGTTACAGCGAATGACTTTAACACCCTTCTTTTTAGTTTATGCACTCTTTTTGTTATTGCAGAAAAAATGAATACATATTCAATTTGCAGTGCATCAACTTTCAAAAGTAAGCCATTACGTCCCTTTTTCGATTGCATCATCTTTATTCGACGAAACATAACAAGAATAAATGAATTTCTTCCTTGGGTGACATATAGTCTCCCAGTTAATTTGATTTCCAATTACGTTATAACTTTGTTGTAGCATTTTTCATTCTTATAGTTTTGTTTTGCTTTCAGGGTTTAGGCTTTAGGGTTTAGGATTCGAACCCACACCGTCATGCAAGAAGTTTAACTCTTTTTTAGCACTGTGATAAAGGGCTACTTGCCCATGTTGTCTTAATATTTCATCCCTTCAGTTTTTCCCCATTCACAAAACAGTTGGAATCACATACATACATATACGTACAAAAAACATGCAACAAAATTTGAAAAAAATTAGTACATGTCTCTGTGGGTTCCTCCTTTTATTGGAGAGATTTTTCGGTATAATTCGGTACATCAAGTGTTTAATACAAGTGGTTGAATACTTGAATTTTTTTTATTTTCAACAACTTGTACTATGACACTTGATGTACCGAGTTGTGTTTTCGAAATATAATAAAATTTCTCCTTTTCTTGGGGTAGTGTGGGGTAGTGTGGGAACCACTCACACTGGTTGCATTTAAGCATGCATTCTGCACACTAGCCACAGAGTCAGAGAGTACCGCTTTCAGAGCAAGTCCCAGAAATACCCGAAGTAGCAACCTTCATTTAACTCAAGGCCATTCCAAAACCAAAAGAAATAATCCATCTCTCTCCCTCTCTCTTTCTATTTGTTTCACAACTTTCAAACCAAAGCTCGCACTTTCTCTCTCATCAGAAAAATCTCCAGAAGAGAGAGAACAGAAAAAATCCTTCAAGCTTTAAGAACATGGAGTCTAATGGTATCATGGAGCCCACTGTTCTTGATCAGTTCATCCCTAGAAGGTTTTCTTTCTTGAGTTTTTTTTTTCTTCTAGTTTTCTTACCTTTTTTTGTTTGTTTGTAAAGTTTGCAACTTTGAATCTTTTGTTTGTAACACAGAAAGTTTGTGTGTGCGTGTTTTTTTTTTTTTTTTTTTTTTTTAAATAGGTACCAAGTGAGAGTGTTTGAGGTTGTAAAGCGGAAGAACACGATTGCGGTGCTGGAAACGGGAGCTGGGAAGACAATGATAGCTGTGATGCTCATCAAGCACGTTGCTGAGGAGACGATGAGGATCATGCCCTCTCTGGAGATAAAAAGTTGATCATTTTCTTGGCTCCGACAGTTTATCTTGTCACTCAAGTAAAAACTTTGATTCACTTCTTATTTTTCAGCTATTTTGTGTTTTTGTTTGTTTGTTGAGTTCAAAACTGTCCCAACTTTATTCCTCACTTTTAGCTAGATGATCTTCCAAGGAGAACTTAATTGTTTGATAGAAATTTAATTTTTTTCTTCTAATAAAAGTTCTTTTAGCAAAGTGCTTATGATCACGAGTACTTCTTACACAAGTAGTCACAAATGACGCATGCTGGGACTGTTTCAGAATGGGCTAAAAGCGATTTCTGACACTCAGAAGTGCTTCTAACTAAGTTTGGTAGAAAAATTTAAAAAATCATTTCTATAATGTTTTTCTAGCTTCTCCAAAAAGCACTATAATTTTCAATGAATTTTTTGACGTGTTGCTAATGAAACACTGTAAGTGCTTACGAACATAAATGCTTCTAGTAGTCCCAAATGGATCCGATGAAAAAAATTGGAGTTATCATTCAACTGCTGAACCAATTTCAATTTTGTTTGGCAGCAATACAAGGTTATTAAAAATTCCACAACTCTTGAAGTGGAAGAGTACTATGGAGCCAAGGGAGTGGATGAATGGACCCGGAGCTGTTGGGAAACAGAAGCTAATACACATGATGTAAGTTTAATTTTCTTCGATTTTCGAGTAATCGATGCTTAATCAGCTTTTTTTGTACAAATCATTTCCGAGATTTAGAGCTAATCACTGATTTATTTTCTTCTTATGCTGTAGATACTGGTCATGACACCACAGGTTCTCTTGGATGCCATGAGGAATGCTTTCTTAAACTTGGAAATGTTTAGCTTGATAATCTTTGACGAATGTCATCGCGCTACCGGCAATCATCCCTATACGAAAATAATGAAGGTAGTTTACGGATTATAGTTTTAGTAATGGTTTCCTACTTATAATCTTCGATTTTAAGAGTCTGTGGATTGTCTATCAAGTTGACTCCACAATCGTAAGGGGCAACGAGCATCTGAATTATGCAGCGAAACACCATTGATGCAATTACATGCACATACACACATATACATACACAATGTTGATCGCTTGCTCACCAGTGAGTAGGAGATCATGAGTTTACAAAGTAATATGTATGTATAAAAAATTTGTTCAAGTACGTCTGAGTGACTACTGTCATGTTTTTGAAGGATTTTTATCACCAATCTGTGAACCGGCCAAAGATTTTTGGGATGACAGCGTCCCCTGTTATAAGAAAAGGTCAGATATTGGTGCTTCATAGCTAGTGAAGTTCTACAGTCTGTTATGCAAAATATTCAAGAGATCTTTTCACACTTCAGGTGTCTCATCCGCCATGGATTGTGAGGCTCAAATATCTGCACTTGAAAGCATGTTGGACGCTCAGGTATGTTGAGTTTTTTATGTCGTTATATTCTCCATTATTATTAGACATTTTGTTGTCTAAATCTCTTGTGACGTGCTGAGGCAGGTTTACACTGTAGAAGACAGGACTGAAATCGAAACATTTGTTCCCTCAGCAGTCCACAAATGTAGGTTTTACAAGCAAGCACCATCCGCCTATTCGGATCTGAGGGAAAAGATGGAAGCTTTGCTGTCGAAGGTAGTCCTGCGCCGTATAATTTCTTTCGTTCGCAAAGTATGTTAGACTTATGTCTTAGCTACTGTACTTCTGAATACACTAAGGGGTATTTAATTTCATGGACAGTATGCTTCTGAGTTGGAGTTGCAAGAGCAAATGCCAAGTCAGTTCCAAGACATCAATGACAAGATAAAGATGTTGCAAAAGCGGTTACACAATGACCACATGAAGATCTTGTACTGCCTCGATGACCTTGGCATTGTATGCGCATATGAGGTACCCTTGTTCTTCGTCGAAACAAAAGAGCAAAAACAGAAGAAAACTAAAATGTGCTAGAAAAATGAAAAGAGGAATGTGATCTGTTTGGTGTTACCACTTTTTATAGGCTGTCAAAATTTGTCTAGAGAATGTCCCTGATGCCGAAGAAGAGTGCCAATTCTATAGAGAATGTTCTTTGCATTTGAAAAACTTTCTCGATGAAGTCTTGCTTATGATTGCCGGATTTCTTCAACCTGGTATGCCAATCGGTAAGTTTTTTTCTCACATTTCGATTGGTTGCATTGGATTTATACTTATTTCCAATTGATATTACTTCCTTCGCACTGCTTAGGCTGCGAACTTCATGCAAACTTTGAGTCTGACTATACAAAGGCATGCGATTTGGGTTTCATATCTCCAAAGTTATACGAACTTCTTCAAATTTTCCAGTCATTTGGGTAAGTAAAACTACTCGTGGCCAAGTCCATATTAATTAATTTTGTTATTAAGTTAATTTATTGAAGTGCTTTGCCATTGCAGAACCGGTAGCAAAGTTCAATGCCTCATTTTCGTAGAGCGAATTATTACAGCTAAAGTGATTGAAATATATGTTAAGAAAGTGCGTTGCTTATCTCACTTGACGGTTTCATACGTGACTGGAAGTAACGGATCAGCTGATGCGCTATCACCGAAGCTGCAAAAGGAAACTATGGAATCCTTTTGCTCCGGGAAGGTACCTAGTCTTTCACATCATTGATTTCAACTTATACGAAGCTTTGGTGTTAGAAAACCACTTAATCAGTGAAGAAACATTTCTATGATCAGGTCAATCTGTTATTCGCTACGGATGTAGTTGAGGAGGGAATACATGTTGCAAACTGTTCCTGTGTGATTCGTTTTGACTTGCCCAAGACCGTTCGTAGTTATATCCAGTCCCGGGGAAGAGGTCGAAAAAATGACTCCCAATATATCCTAATGCTTGAAAGGTGAAGGCTTCTTTTTGTAGTTTCATATAAAAGTGACTGCAAGTCGACAAAAGATAAATTTTGGAGTTCGAGTTTTGACACATATTTTACAGGAGCAACAAGAAGCAGATAGATCAAATGTTCGACATCATCAGGAGCGAACATTCAATGACCGATACATCTAGAAACAGAGATCCTGAAGTATGCACCTTAAAAGCTTGTTGTTTTGAGGAAACAAAATTGTATCGTGCAAAAGTTACTGGAGCATCAGTTACAACGGATTCGAGTGTCAGTCTTATATATCGATACTGCGACAAGCTCCCGGGAGATAGGTATGGATATTTTGCCTTGTCACTCACAAGTTCTATTGAGCATTTTTCTGTATTTCCTAACTGGTTGTTACAAAATGTAGGTACTTTACTCCGAAACCAACTTTTGACTTCGGAATTTCTGAAGGGTTGTACCAGTGTAGGATTACATTACCCCCAAATGCAGCTTTTCTAACAACGGTCGGTCCTCTGAGCAGCAACACGCATTTGTCCAAGCAGCTAGTGTGCTTGGAAGCTTGTAAAAAACTCCATGAAATGGGAGCCTTGGATGATCATCTTCTCCCGCTTGTCCAAGAACCTTTAGAAGATGATCTAATTCCAGAAAGAAGAGGATTATCTGCTGGTGCAGGTATGTGTGTATATAAATTTATAGACCTAATTTTTCGAAAGGGTAACCATTTAGCATTGTTGCTGTTTGGACGTAGACCAGTTCAGCTATATTTATGATTCTAATTCTTTCTAACATTTGAGAGTGAAAATTAGT